TTTCTTCCTTTCTCTCGAAAAAAAAAAAAAAGAAAACTTAAAGTTGTTCTTAGGGGAACAATCATTGCTTTGCATTTCGTTGCTGAATAGAAAATCTGGAAGAACAATATCAACTTTTAAATGAAATTATGTGCCTGGAAGGGGAGTATAAATATAAAAAAAGGAGAGCACCTCATTATCATTCTTTCAAGCTGCTGGAGTGAAACTTGAGTCATTGCAAATTCCAATATCAAAAACTCTCTTGGATATACTAAAGAACACCATTATGCACACAGCAATAAAATGAGGATGTTATTCGAGGGAGCCACTAAGAATAAAAAATAGCCAAAGCAAATGTCTAAAATGAGCAATACAATAGGTTCGTTAATAATTATTGCGAAATAGCTCTAAAATTTTCCAACTGAAACTGAATTCCTTGGGGTTCTTCATCAGCCAGGGGCATCATCTTTTTTTTTTTTTTTCTGCTTGCAAGAATTTTCTACCTATAACTGTCTAAACACAAAGAAACGTTTGATTTCGGTATTGATATTTATCAGAGTACTCTTCAAAATAACTGAAATTAGGCTTCTTTTTACGCTGGGGAACCGGCAAAAGGCTTTTGAACGAAGAATAAGCATATGAACAAGTCATGCTTCACCATTTTGCTGTAATCTTCTAAACTGCCTTCATGACGTAAAACTTTTAATTGCAGAACATTTAAGAATTATTGAATGTCTCTTCAATAAAGCTAGTCATTAAAGTTTAGTTGATAGTAGTATATTTAGAAATATATATACCAGCTCATTTTCTCTTGCCGTACCTCATACAGAGGTTTCAAGTGGGATTTCTGCCACATTCACATTCAGAGATTTCGGCCCTAAGAACTGTTCATTTTTAATGTTTGTAGTTTCAATGGTTTAACTTTTTCTTTTTTCTGATTTTTTTTGCTGTGTAATTATAAATTATAAATTTCTGAATTAATTAGCTGAGTAGGCTACAGTATAGATAATAGAGCTAGTGTTAGATCATTTTTAAAGCCTTTTAGGTCTGTATGGAGGGAAGAAAGAAAAGGAAGTCGGGGAGTCCCCATTCCCCACACTCTGTCCAAAGGTTAGGAAATTGCTGTCAGGCGTTCCTTTCCTTGGCTTCCACCATCTGAAGGCGTCTATAGCAAGAATTAGAATCAAAACCAAAGAAACAAGAAATCAGCTGAAAATAAAACACTAAGAAATGGTAGTTTATTTTCTTTTGCCATGCTGCAAAGGAGGGTCGAATTTTTCGCAACTGATGGAGCTGCTGGCTGAGTTTTTCCGGAGCAGGTAGTAAGTGCATCCCCTCCTTCGCGCCTTTTCCCAGCTCCTGCCCAATTCGCTGACTGAAGGTTAATGCAAGGCCTGCGCCTCTCCCAGACTCCGGCCAGGCCCCGCCCAGCGCAGAGGTGGGCTGCTCCCGGCGGGGGGCGGCCCAACCCCAACCACCGAGAAGAGGCCCTTTGGTGTCCTAGAGCGGCTACGGGCCGCTGGGCCGAGTTGGAGAACACCGGGTGCCTGAAGCCGCTTCTGTGGTCCCGCGCCGTCTCCTGCGTTCCAGGAGCCGCCACCTGATTCCCTACGCTGAGTGCGGCCCTCTGGCGGAACCGCGTCTGTGGCGAGGAGCGGGGTTCCAGCCTGCTGCGCTGACACGGCCCCTGGCGTTTTCCGTGCTGGCCCTGGGTCGCCCTCGACGCTGCTTCCCGGCGGGAGCCTCCTTCTCACGGCAGAAAGGAGCTTCACCTGGGGCGGCCGGCGGGGAACCGAGAAGAACCCGCCGGGGAAGTGGACCGGGCTGGCTCCCAGGCCCGGCGCTGCGGCTCGGGGGCCGCCAGACCTCCTGCGGGTTGCGTTTCATTCCTCGGTTTTCTAGACCCCAGTTTTGGGGTTGAATCCTTGCTGTGGTTTTGTAAGAATTAAATGATAAGGCGAACACCAATCATTGCTGCTTACTGGGTGCTTCCTGTGGGCCTGGCAATATTAACGGCTTAACCCGAACTCGTTCCTGCATTCATTCGCTACTCGTGGGCCTTTCCTAACAATACTGCAAGGTGCTGGAGGGGCCCCCACCCTTTGGTCAGTAAAACTGCCAGGGTCACTGACCTGAAGACGTTGAGGATGAGAGGTTTGTTGGAGTCCGGAAGTGGAGACAGACTGAACAGTTAACTACAAAACACGTTTTAAAATTACAACTTTGAGAGCCGATAGCGGGAGACCCCTTTGGGGAGGGGTGGAGGTGGGGAAGAGGAGGAAAGGAAAGGCTTCCCTGAGGAGGTAACGCTGCAGCTGTGACCTGACAGATGGGGCCGAACCAGCTGGCCTCGAGTTGTGTTTCAGGCCTAGGGAATAGCATAAGGACTCAAGCTGTTTCCTTCCAGGTCGAGTCCCTATGCTCAAACTGGTATTTGGCACACACCAGTAGTGGAACGCCACTCAATGCCTTATTCTCTTCCCCTTCTCTCAGCTCTGTCCCCTCCACATAGTAGGAAAATGAAGCTGGTAACTAATTTTGGCCCGAATTGTCCTGTTATTATATCTATTATACTCCACCATGCGGGCTCTTCCTAACTCCTTTTGATCAAAATAGATATTTTTGAAAATGTGAAGAAAGCAGTATCGTGTCTTGTATGGTTTCTCATTGCCTTCTAAATCAGATATAAACAACAAACTTGCTTGAGGTGTTCTCTGTCAAACCAAGGACCTACATTTAATTCCAGCTTACACTCTGCTGCACCCTTTCCCTTTTGCTATATTCCTTAGTTGATGTTGACTCCATTTGGAACAGTGTATTCAGCGTTGAAAGCATTGCATATTCTGAAGCAACTGTGTTCTTACTCAGCACAGGCATTTCTGTTATCCCAAGAATCTCCCTACCTCCAGAACATGTTTACTCCTTAATCACTTCCTGATAGTAGAGAAGACTACTATTACTCTAAATACTGTAGTTAAACAATTATTGAATATAGGCACGTTTTTGAATTAGAAGAATCCTATCCCAATCCAAGGTATAATTTGCTGATCCCATACTGATTCCTTTTCTTCCCACTCCGTGTCCTTTCATCTGCTATTTTCGAGTCCAGATGCCAGCCAGGCATTTGAGAACCATCTGATGGTAACAGGACGGAGGCTGACTCAACTTCACTCCACCACCTGCCTTCCTGCCTTCAGGGAGATTTTGTACATAGCTTATCCTTTAACTTCTGCTTGTTACTGTTCACAGCACTGTGATTCTACTTTAAGCACCTTCTATACATTCATATTCATTACTTTTTTCCTCCTCTTTCCTGTTTATGATTACAAAGGTGCTTAACCTATTTTATTGCAGAACCAAAAAAGAGATCGAATTATAATGATAACATGAGTATAGTATTATATTAAAGGATACTAGTAAGACACTCAGTTCCTGCTTTGTTCCCATAATATTTTGTGAATATGTCTATGATAGTATTTAATACATTGCGTTATGACTAGTTGGTTGTGTCATTCTCCACTTATTAATTAGACTTCTTTGAGGATATTTAAAAAAATTTTTTTCTTCATTTGTTCTTGTACTTAGCTCAATGCCTGGCAACAAAACAAAAAAGATCATTGTTGAATCAGTTTTTAAGTGAAATAGGGGTAAATGGGAGGCTCCAGTCTTTGAAAATGCCTAGAGATCCCCTTCAGAATCCTCACACATTTTCATCAATCTTCTTACCCTGTAAATAAATATACTTTCCTCAAATATTAAAGATATTTGTAAAATAAATATTATTCAATTTATTTTTTTCTATTACAGTCGGGTGTGTGTGTATATGTGTGTGTATATATATGTATATAGTTGTATTTCAACTATGTAGGAGAAAAGGAGCAAGTCTGTGAAGTATCATTTACCCATTTACCAACAAGACGATTATCTCAGAAGGTTAAAATGTGAGAGAAAAAACTAGTGTTCAAACCCTGCTCTTACTGATGCCACAGCCAATGTTCTATCTTTGGTAGAAATCAAACTGTATTTTTCTTATTGTTCAAGTAATGTAATTAACTATAGAAAAATAAGAAATTACAGATGAACGAAATAAAGCAAAAGTAAATAAAATTCATCCATGATTTCATCATTCCAAGCCAACAATTGTTAACATTTTTGTGAATACATATATATACACACACATTACATACGCACAGTTGTTTTGGAGTTTTTTTACAAAACGGAAATCACACAAATTTTAATCTTTTATAATCTACTTTTTTGCTTAACAATATGTGATAACTCCTGTCTCTTGATTCATTTATTTGGGTTTTTCATCCTGGGCACTATTTACATATTGGGCCAGATACTTCCTTGTTATAGAGGGTGATAAAAATTCTTTGCTTGACCAAACTTTATCAAGCCTCCTGAATCTTCTTCTAGGCCTGTCTGTATACTTTCTTGTAAAATCAGACTTAGCAACAAACCTTTTTCCTCAGTTTAGTGACTGCCCCCCACCACCTGAATCCTTGATATATGATCACCATCGATATGTTCCTCATCCTCCAACATCCTTAGATGAATTCTCATAACCCTAGCCTGTCATCAGCAAGAATCCTGTTCGGTTGTGTTAGCCAAAGTCCTCCTTATCCTTGATGCTTCCTCTTAGCAGTTTTCTATTTACTTATCCTACCCTGTTCCTTATCTATAAATTCCCACATTTCCCATGCTGTATACAGAGTTGAGCACAATCTCTCTCCCTAACTGCGAAATCTTATTGCAGTGGTCCCTATCCCTACGGCAATGATCTTGAATAAAGTCCTTGCCGTGCTTTAAGAAGTGTCATTGATTTCTTTTATAGGGCCTGTCCTATGCAATGTAGAATATTTAACAGCATCCCTGGCCTTTATGCACTGTATGCCATTAATACTACCCCTTCTTCATTGTGGCAAACATAAATGTCTCCAGACATTGCCAAATATCTCCTGGAGGACAAAATTGTCCCTGGTTTATTCTAATATTAATCTTTTCTCTTTTCTTGACACTTGCCTACCCAATGACTATTAGAAACTCAATAGTAAATGTTTCACATTTTGCATTTTGTTGTAGAAATAGTTAATACCAAGTTAACAGAAGTTTTACAAAATTAGGTGTTTTAAACTCTTTATTAAACTCTGAAATAATGCCTCCAAACTCTGGAATGCTTTTTCATCTTAGAGTGTACCCTTTTTATGACCTGTGGATTTCTTGTTTAAAATTTAAAAGTTAGCTTTGAGTGAATGAAGCATAAATTATCTTAAAGCAAAGGTATAATAACATTATGAAAAAGTATTAAGACTGATAGCCTTTGGGAGAAGTGAATTTGCTAAATGAGTGACTTTGATAAAATTTTTATGCACAGATATATGTACTTGGTTGATTTTTATCATTGCAATGTCTTTTGTATCTTTGATTTTCAGAAGATTTCTACAATAAGTACATTCTTACACTAAAAATTCTTGAACATCTTTCCAAGTTTAAAAAGTCAGAAATTTTTAGAAGCTGTTATAGTTTACTTTTTCAAAAATGTTTTTGGCCAGGCACAGTGGCTCACACCTGTAATCCCAGAATTTTGGGATCACAAGGTCAGGAGTTCAAGTCCAGTCTGGCCAACATGGTGAAACCCCGTCTCTACTAAAAATACAAAAATTAGCTGGGCATGGTGGCACATGCCTGTAATCCCAGCTATTCAGGAGGCTGAGGCAGGAGAATTGCTTGAACCAGGACCTGGGAAGTGGAAGTTACAGTGAGCTGAGATGGGGCCACTGCACTCCAGCCTGGGCTACAGAGTGAGACTCTGTCTCATAAAAAAAAAAAAAAAATTTTTTTTTTACTTTTTTTTTTTTTTTTTTTTAAAGATGGGGTTTCACCATGATGGCCAGGCTGGTTTTTGAACTCCTGACCTCAGGTAATCCACCCACCTCAGCCTCCCAAAGTGCTAGGATTACAGGTGTGAGCTACCGCGCCCGGCTAATTTTTTTACTGTTAAATGAAAACGCATTATAAAAAATTGTATTAAAAATGCAGTTTAATGAATTGCTATAATAGGAACACCGTATAATCACAAATGCACATCAAGAAGTAGAATATTGGTAGGGCTCAGAAGCATCCCTACCTCCATGCCCATCCCCAGCTTCCTCTCTCTTCTTAAGTGTAGTTCCTTCCTGGTACTTACGGGTAATATGTAGTCACTTCATTGTTGTGTTTATTCTCTATTTTTAATTTTTTTTTTTTTTGAGACGGAGTTTCACTCATGCTACCCAGGCTGGAGTGCAATGGCACGATCTCGGCTCACCACAACCTCCGCCTCCTGGGTTCAGGCAATTCTTCTGCCTCAGCCTCCTGAGTAGCTGGGATTACAGGCACGCGCCACCATGCCCAGCTAATGTTTTGTATTTTTAGTAGAGACGGGGTTTCACCATGTTGACCAGGATGGTCTCGATCTCTTGACCTCGTGATCCACCCGCCTCGGCCTCCCACAGTGCTGGGATTACAGGCTTGAGCCACCGCGCCCGGCTATTTTTAATTTTAATTTTAATTTTAGAGACAGGGTCTCAATCTGTCACCCAGCTTGGAGTGCACTGGCACCTCAGAGCTCACTGCTGCCTCACACTCCTGGGCTCAAGTGACTCTCCATCTCAGCCTCCCAAGTAGCTGGGATTTTAGGTGTGAGCCACTACGACTAGTCCTTTTTTAATCTTTCACCACAAAAATGTGCATCTGTTTACACTGGAGTTTAGTTTTGCTTGTTTTTGAAGTTTATATAAATGGAATTATACACTATGTGGTCTTCTCTATCTAGCTTAAAATTATGTTTACAAGCTTCATCTGTATCATTGTGTATATTACATTTTATTTATTTGCACTGTTGTATTGTTTTACAGTCTACGAATGTATCGCTACCCTTGATGAACATTTGCTTTTTTCTGGTTTTGGCCAATGATAATGCCTGT